GCCTGACCCTTGTTAGCCATTATACTATTTACCTGCTATTGCTCAGTATTCCTCAGCTAATATGTTTTGCCATTAAACCATTCCCTCCATAAACTTATCTAATTTAATCTTAAAACCAGACAGGTCCCTCGCCTCCACTGTTTCCCTCGGAAGATTAGAGTTGGAAGAGATCTCAGGAGGTCATCTAGTCCAACCTCCTGCTCAAAGCAGGACCAACCCCAACTAAATCATCTCAGCCAGGGCTTTGTCAAGCTAGGCCTTAAAAACCTCTAAGGATGGAGATTCCACTACCTCCCTAGGTAACCCATTCCAGTGCTTCACCACCCTCCTAGTGAAATAGTGTTTCCTAATATCCAACCTAGACCTCTCCCACTTCAACTTGAGACCATTGCTTCTTGTTCTGTCATCTGCGAGTCCATAATTCTCATTTTAACTTGTACTGATTATGGAACATGAAGAAGTGACTCCACAGATTGAATGAGAAGCAAATGTTGTTCACCATATGGGGGATTAACTTCAGTTAATAAGGCAGTAAATATTTGTTATTCAAGAGGGTGACAAACAATGACATGCCTCATTATGCTACAGTTTCAGATGCTTTATTGCCTACAGCATATCCCTAGAAAATACTAATAATTTCTGGAGCCAAATTTAAGTGTTGGATCACATGTGTATTTCCATAAGTTTGAACAGCACTTTATCTGGGGACAGATCTTTGACTAATGTAAACTGTCAGAGCTACATTAAAGTCAATGCAGCTATGACAATTTACATTCAGTTGAGGATGTATCACGGAGCATCCTATACATAGGAACAGAGATCCTGGGGTTCACCCTGTCATTGCAGTATGTAATACAGAAGAAGACTGTCAAATGGTGAGCCACAAAACAAACTATTATCTTATGTTGTGAATAAGCAGATGGACGTCTTCCTACCTAAAAAGGAAATATCACTTAAGAATCTTAGAGAATACAATGTTTACCCAGCTGTCTTTTTTTCAATATAGATAAAATAGCTATTCCAGATTTTGGTACTGGTGCTATGGAAAACTGGGGTCTGATCACTTACAGAGAAACAAACCTACTTTACGATCCCAAAGAATCTGCTTCGTCCAACAAACAGAGAGTGGCAGCTGTGATTGCCCATGAGCTCGTTCACCAGGTAGATTTTATTAAATGTTTAATGTTTTTAAAGCACTAGAAGTGCACAGTATCCATAACTCATTTATGAAAATAATCAGCCATACATTTGGTTCCAGGTCTTCTAAGTATGTTTAAACCTCACTTTAAAATAAGTGCACAAAGGCAATTCTGCTGTTAGAGTTTTACAGTACTGGAATTATTGCAAATGGACTCTTCTCAGAAAATTAGATGCTTAGGACCAGGTTTTCAGCCAGCCTCTGAAAAATCTGCCTGCAACATCATCTCTCTCACATCCACCCACCCACATCATTTACATGTGCAGATATGTGATCTAAGCTTGCAAATGGATGCAACTAAACTCTGGAAGCTGCTTGAAAATTTGGTCCATATAAAGGTAAATCAAATCAAGAGGAAGAAACTAAAAATACTTCCAGTGGTATATGAATCAGTTCCAAATCACCGCTGTAATATGTAATTTCATAATACAAATGATTAATGTGAGTCATCATCTGAATTCCCATTAAAAACCTAGCTTTATGACAAATTCTTCTTCCTGGCAACAGGAAGAATGTAAACAAATGGAGGTACTGCATGAAGATTTGCAAAACTATAATATACACTTATCACGGTGGCTAACACTTCATATTTAATGCTTACAATTATAGTGGTTTGGAAACATTGTGACCATGGACTGGTGGGACGACTTGTGGCTAAATGAAGGATTTGCCAGTTACTTTGAGTTCCTAGGAGTAAATGCTGCAGAAACTAATTGGCAAATGGTAATTATTTCTACACTATGTTTTTTATTTTGGAATAGAATGAAAATAAGAATCATGTCACAGACACTGAAAACAAGGACACATAGTGGATACACATACACTTAATTATTGTGGCATGCAGATATATAGAGAAAGGAGATACCTGAACAAATTGACTTGTGTGGTTGTATACCACAGATCTCTATTGGTTGGACTGTGAAAAGACTTGCTGGGTTTCTAAATTGTCCTGCTAACTGGGTTTTGGTCTGAAGCCAGTCTATAAGACTTGCAAAGTTCTGCTCACCTGAGGAGAGTAATGTTTTGATGAGTAAATTATTAGCTTATCATAGTAAAGAATCATAAGTGGATTCTGAGCCTGGTCATGGCGATTTTGCGAAGTGGCTATAAGTCCTACTCCTGAAAGATGGAGATGGAGAGTCTCCTTTTATTGATTCAGAAGAGCTGAAGAGTGTGTGTGTGTGGGGGAGTGGAGTGGGGTGGGGTGGGGTGTTACAGAACCACAATCCAATCTGGAATGTGAATCCCTTTGAAGTCTGGTGGATTGGTAAATGCGAGTTTAGGATGAATTTATTCAGATCCAAAACTGTCTCTACAGCTTTGGTTCAGTGGGGGGAAAAAAATCAGTTCTCCAGCTCCTGCAAGTGTTTTAAGCACTATGACATAGAACCATGCTCAGAGCAGGTCTAATCAAAATAATGCTTAAAACAGTAGTGACTGCAGGTGGCCTATCTATCCTAAAGCTCCCAACATTGCTAACAGTGAAGCTGAACTAATTAGTTTACTTTATGATTCTGCAAGTGTAACCCACACACCTCCTGGGTGTGGTGTTCTTCCCATCTAGTGGCACAGAGACCACGAGAGAGAGAGATATTAATGAGTTTGCTCTGCAGCCTTAGCTAACAGCCAGTTGGCTCATGCACTACGCTCCAGAGGTCCCAGGTTCAATCTTGCCCAACGATGACAACCGGGGTCTGTTGGCGTTACAAGTATGTAACCCACACACCTCCTGGGTGCGGTCTTCTGTCCCATCTAGTGGCACTGAGACTACTTAAAGAGAGATTAATGAGTTTGCTCTGCAGCCTTAGCTAACAGACTGTTGGCTTTTGGCTCATGCACGAAGCTCTAGAGGTCCCACGTTTGATCCTGCCCATCAATGACCAGGGTCTGTCAGCATTACACAAGAAAAGGAAAGCAGGTGCTTATTTTACACACTGGGGATTAATAACTGCTTGTATGAATTAGGTGATTTTGTCGTCTCCCAAAAACAGATGCCATGGCCCATATCTCCCAAATTAGTATGAGACTCTACCTACCATATGCATTCCTACTTTTATTTGTATATAGAGAGGGTGCTTTAGTTTGTTAAATTTTATTACATTAAATCCTTTATAGCAAAATAAAGATCACTGGTCCATTTACTTTAGCAGTGACCAGAGCATATCTGATACTCTAAAGCAAAGCCAAAAAACAATATTCATTTGTGCAATGCTGTGCTGTACGTGGTAAGGGGAGGGAGGGGGTGAAGAGATCCTTTCTTACCCTGGATTTATCTCTTTACAACCTGAAATATGAAATTCCATTACTCTTACTTTAACATACATAACTATATATTATTGATCATGAAGTTATGTAGCCCCTTTTTAAATCTAGACACAGTATTTAACTAAGGCATAGAGCTGTATATCAGTGAATGGTATAACAGAAAGTTATGTAAAACTTTAGTCTCACTCATCTATTAATCAGGAATTAAACCAATATGGATCACAGGTTACTGGATCTGACAAAGGAAAAGAAAAAAAGAAACAGGGACAGTTCCTGAAGAAACCCTATGTACTCCTCAACCTGACTTCTATATAGCCATCTGTGTTATGTCTGAAAGCTGAAATTGGTAATAGTCTCCTTTTTTTGCCTTGCTGAGCTTTTTGTGTTGTGAGACGCACATGTTCAAACAGGATTCTGTAAGAGGTAATTTATCATAACAGAGGAAAAAGGTCCCCATCTTAGAAATACAGTGCTATTGCACAAGTCATTCTGTTGAGGTGGTGAAATTTCATTCTGCATGCCTCCTCCATCCACATCCCCATATACCAAAGGCAGATCTGAAGCTTCCATTTAAAGTTATCAACTATGTTCTTTGAGTAAGAATTACAGTCCTGGTTTTGTTTCTGTTTACCAGCTTGATCAGGTGTTAATTGATGACGTGCTGCCTGTGATGAAGGACGACTCCTTGTTGTCTTCTCACCCTATTGTGGTCAGTGTGTCATCTCCAGCTGAAATAACATCTGTATTTGATGGCATATCATACAGCAAGGTAGGAGAGGCCTCGCATTATAATCTTAACTATGACAAAGGGGGTTTAAGGAGGAGACAAAAAACAATGGAGATCACAGACAATTAGCCTTTTTCTGAAAAGTTCCCCACCCTTGCTAACACCATGACAGGTTTCAGAGGGGTAGCCATGTTAGTCTGTATCAGCAAAAACAATGAGGAGTCCTTGTGGAACCTTAGAGACTAACAAATTTATTTGGGCATAACCTTTTGTCGTCTAAAACCCACTTCATCAGATGCATGGAGTAAAAAATACAATAAGCAGGTATAAATAGACAGCACATGAAAAGATGAGAGTGCCTTACCAAGTGTGGAGTCAGTGCTAACGAGGCCAATTCAGTCATGGTGAATGTGGCCCATTCTCAATAGTTGACAAGAAGGTGTAAGTACCAGAGGGAAAATTATTTTTTGTAGTGATCCAGCCACTCCCAGTCTTTATTCAAGCTTAATTTGATGGTGTCAAGTTTGCAAATTAATTCTGGTTCTGCAGTTTCTCATTGGAGTCTGTTTTTGAAGTTTTTTTGTTGAAGATTGGCCACTTTTCAGTCTGTAATTGAGTGTCCAGAGAGATTGAAGTGCTCTCCTACTGGTTTTTGAATGTTACAATTCTTGATGTCTGATTTGTTTCCATTTATTCTTTTGCATAGAGTCTGTCTGGTTTGGCCAATGTACATGATAGAAGGGCATTGCTGGCACATGATGGCATATATCACATTGGTAGATATGCAGGTGAACAAGCCCCTGATGGCTGATGTGATTAGGTCCTATGATGGTGTCCCTTGAATAGATATGCGGACAGTTGGCAATGGGGTTTGTTGCAGGGATGGGTTCCTGGGTTAGTGTTTCTGTTGTGTGGTGTGTAGTTGCTGGTGAGTATTTGCTTCAAGTTGTGGGGCTGTCTGTAAGCAAGGACTGGCCTGTCTCCCAAGGTCTGTAGGAGAGCACTTTAATCTCTCTGGACACTCAATAACTGACTTAAAAGTGGCCATTCTTCAACAACATCAAAAGTCAAAAACAGATTTCAATGAGAAACTGCAGAACTGGAATTAATTTGCAAACTTGACACCATCAAATTAGGCCTGAATAAAGACTGGGAGTGGCTGGGTCACCACAAAAAATAATTTTCCCTCTGTTGATACTCACTCCTTCTTGTCAACTGTTGGGAATGGGCCACATCCACCCTAATTGAATTGGTCTCATTAGCACTGCCCCCCCACTTGGTAAGGCAACTCCCATCTTTTCATGTGCCGTATATTTATACCTGCTTACTGTATTTTTCAGTCCATGCATCTGATGAAGTGGGTTATAGCCCATGAAAGCTTATGCCCAAATAAATTTGTTAGTCTCCAAGGTCCCACAAGGACTCCTCGTTCTTACTAACACTGTTTCAGGTTACAGCAACTGCAAGAACAATAGTTTAGCCAGGCCTCCAGGCAGACATCAGTGTTCTGACCACTGTGCCACCTAAATCTGCTCACAGCACATGTAGAAATGTGGGGATTAAAATCTTAGCAGCCTCTGGCACCTTGTCCACCCTACAGTTCCCATTGTCAATGATGGAATTACCCTAGTGCGAGCATCTAATCGACCTAGTGGTGGTAAGAATGGCAGCAGCAAGCCGCTCATCTAAGCTAGGGTACCTAATATTGCTGAAACAGTGTTAATGACAGTGGGGAACTTTTTAGACAGGGCCACTGCTTTTAGTGGGAGTACTTGTAGGAGCAAGGCAAGGATTTGATCCAGTGGCTTGTTACGGCAAAATATTCCTGCCATTTCCTCTTTTTAGTATACTTAAACCATTTAGGTTAACAACTTATTGTACAACTCTACAGCTCTTTCCTATTTGATGGTATAGATAAGGTTTCCTCTAATCATTCAAATTCTCCGTTGCACACTACACTCCAAAAGAGCAGTTATTTAAAGAATTCAGAGATTCCCAATGATTAATCGCATTCAAGAATCTGATTTCACAAAAAATTTAGTAGGTTTAAGATTTTAAGTTTAATTCCTTAAATCCATAGTGAACAAACTATAGACTGTGCTTTTGTATCTTTCCTTCAGAACCCTGTATGTAGAAATTCTAACATAATGTCTGCTAATGTTACATCCAGCCTATTCTTTCTCTCAAGGCTTCCATTATTATTCTAAGCAAAAATGTATCTTTCACTGATTTTAGCCTCAGCTATGTCTAGAACAAAATCCTTTTGAGTGTTAGGTATCTCTTTTTATTAGCTAGCCCTACACCTGAGTAGGCTATTTCTTTTACAGTCCCGTCCCCCGCCGTCCCCAATTGTCAGTATTTATTGCATCATAAATATCCAGTAGCCAAACCATAAATCATTAAGTAAATTGCCATTCTAGCAGCCCTGAAGGTCTCGGTCAAACCAACAATAGCCAAGATATGTAGAGTAAAATCAGACACACTGGACCCAAAGCTGATTTAAGTTTCACCAATGCAGTGAGTAAGAGACACCTTCTTGTTTTCTACAACTTTTAAAAAGGTACCCAGATGGTACTATACTGTATAAGAAACTGGATAGAAAACTCCCATCTTTAATTCACCCTCCCCTTTGTGCTTACATAGTAACCACAAAACTGAATATTTTAAGATAAACCACTGTTCTGGAGACACCTGCAATGTTTGGGCATATATTTTAAATATTAAAACGAAGAAAACCTCTTATGAAATTGTATGACAGCTGACAATGAACACGCAATTTGGAACTCAACGTCAACTTAATCAGAACATGTAAAAATGTTTATACAGTCTAAAGATGCAATGAATTTTTTAGGGTCTATGGAGTCATCACAGCACACACTGTAATTACATACCTGGTCAGTATCTGATTGATAGGGCACAACATAGGTAGAAAAGTCAAGTTAGGTAAAATGCAGTTTTGTTGTAGCCGTGTCAGTTCCAGGGTATCAGAAAGAGAAGGTGGGTGAGGTAATATCTTTTACTGGACAAACTCCTGTTGGTGAGAGACATAGGATCGGACTCTGTGGGTGCTCTGGGTCTCAAGCATCCACCGAAAAAAAAAATAGGGAGTGCTCAGCACCCACAAGACTGGATTAATCTTTTGTGTGCCCCGGCGCCAGGTCCATGGCCCTGCCCCCTGCTCCGCCCCAAGGCCCCACCCCCACTCACATGGGGGAGAGGGAGCGGAGGGGAGCACCCACTGGCAAAAACAAAAAGCTCTTCTTCAGGTCATATTTATGTGTTCTGATTAAGTGGACATTGAGTTCCAAATGGTGCGTTGTCACCTGTCACACGCTTTCATAAGAGGCTTTCTTCATTATTTTGAGTGTCACCTGAAAGGAAGCAAACTAATCTTATCAGAGATTTATCTACAGACAATAAGAATACTCCAAGTTAAATCCACAAAGTGAGGGTACTCAGATTCAAGATAAATTATATCCCTGGCTCCCGAAGAAGAGCTTTATGGAAGCTCAAAAGCTTGTCTCTCTCACTAACAGAAGTTGGTCCAATAAAAGATATTATCTCACCAACTTGTCTCTAAGTTAGGTAAAAGACAGTTTGACCATATAATAGAGCTGGTATTAGTGATTCCACAGTTAAAGTTGTTTTGAGATTTGCACTTGAATTATTACACTCCATTTCTCTCAGTTAAATTTAACAGTTTAATGCATTGTCTTCAGATAACAATTGAATTTTCCATAATATTTTTAGCTCGAATATTGATAATTTTTTTTCAGAGGAAATATTTTAAATAAGTTCTTTTTGAAGTGGTCTTGAGAGTCTCAGCATTTCTGAACCCTGTGGCTAACGAACTATAGGCACCAAAACTTCCAAATTTACACACGTGTAACCTCACAATATCTCTGGCATAGGCTAGCAATTCTAAGAATATGCTCCTAGCAAGTATGTTTACAAAAAATAAAATAGGGCAAGCTACTCAGCTGGTATAAATCAGTGTCAATTTATTGACTTCAGCTGAGCTATTCCAATTTACACCAAATGACGATCTGGCCCAAATAAGAGAGAAGTTGTGCAAACAACTGGGTTTATATAACTTGTGTTCTTCTCCATCGTCACAACCTCAAGGGGATAACAAAAGGCAATCAGGAGTGTTGTGAGGATCAGAAACACTGTTCTACATTGTTTATAAAAGTGACCTTATAGTCTGTATAATTAATCAGTTCTGAAGCTTGTCAACCTCTCCAATTTTTATAACAAAGCTGTTTTTGCATTGGAAAAGAGACACCTGCTGGCCAGTTTAAGAACTGTGATAATTAATTGGAAAAGAGAGTCTCCAAATTAAGGGCTTGTCTATTGCTGTTTGAAACCACTGCTCTACATCAAAGCATGCTATGGAACGTTTAGTGTATGGTAACACATCCACGCGGTCAGTCAGCGTGCAGCAGACTAGTGCACTGTATATTCATACCCTGCCTTGCTGCGCTCTAAGTCTTAGTGTAGACAAGTCCTAACTATTGCATAAGTCTACTCAACCACTCCAGTGACACACTGACGTGTCCAAATTTTCATCCCTAATAATATAAAGAATGGAGTCAAGGCTTACTGAGGACTGACATAAGTGCCTAATTTCATGGGACAGTGAGTTTTGTTTTGTTTTTAACCAGTTCAAAACATTTTTTCAACTATCCTTTTTTTCTGCCAGGGAAATAAAATTTACTAACCTTGAAGTTGTAGGTTGGGTTTTGCTTATTTTCCTTTCCTTCTTTTTGTGGCTATCCCATTTTATCTCTTCCACCTTGGGTGACCAGATGTCCCATTTTTAAAGGGGCAGTCCTGTTTTTTGGGACCTTTTCTTATATAGGTGCCTATTACCCCCACCCCCCCACCCCGTCCCATTTTTTCCACAGTTGCTATCTGGTCACCCTACTTCCACCTGTCTATTATTTTCTCTGTCCATTTTTATTTCTCTTCTTCTACCTTGGTGTCTTCCTCCACCCTCTTCCTTTCCCAAGGCCCCTATCACACTTTGTCTCTTCCTGGCCCCCCAGGAGTAAGTGTCACAGAGCCTGTCAATCTGCTTCAGATGCTGGTATTTTTATTCCAAGTCAGCATCCCAGCATAATTTAAGCCTTGAGTAGAGTCATTGTACAATCTAAAACTGCAGATTTACAGCATTTTAAAGGCTCCTAAGCTCTTAGTCAAAGTCTCATAACAGGATCTGAAATCATGGCAGGAGTGAGTGAGTGAGAGAGAGAATGGTCTGCAGAAATAAGGAACTAAATTTTTATCCATATAGATTACCTCTATTTTTGGTAGATGGAATATTCACTCTAGTGAAGTCTTTTAAAGTAATAAGAATCTAGTTTTAAAAAGGTGTGAAATGACCTTATTCCCTTTCTTTTTGTATGTAGGGAGCATCAATTCTCAGAATGCTTCAAGATTGGATTACACCAGCAAAGTTTCAAAAAGGATGTCGGGTATGAACTACAGTAAAACATGCCAGAAAAAAATAAACCACATGTGGGAAAGGGAAAGATTTTACTCAGAAAAGTGAATGTGATACATTCAGGGCTGGCTCCAGGCACCAGCTTAGCAAGCAGGTGCTTGGGGCGGCCACTCCAGAGGCGGGTGGCATATCCAGCTATTCGGCAGCAATTCGGCGGAGGGTCCCTCACTCCGGCTCGGAGCGAAGGACCTCCCACTGAAGTGCCGCAGATCGCAATCGCGGCTTTGGGGGGGGGGGGGCGGCGCTGTTTGGGGCGGAAAAAATCCTGAAGCCGGCCCTGGATACATTCGCTTTGTGTGTTCTCATTACAATTTTAGATAACTATTTATGTACTAAAACATTCACTCCTAACAACATTTCTATACTAACATTTACTCCAATTAATCTAAATTTTATTTTTTGCAGGATGTAGATACACTAGCTCCTTCAACCACATCTGAAAAAGCTGTGTAGACAATAAAAGCTAGGTTACCCAAATTCCCAGCATGATGGTACAGTTTGGTAATGATATAGAAATTATGGAACCTTTTGCAATGGGAATAGGTAGCAATGTTAAGTGGAAATTAATTCTCACAATGAGTTGGAATTTGAACTGAAGGGTTGTATGTGTGTTTGAAGGCCAGCCAGTGATGACCCTAGGCACATGATATCTAACAATACCCTCTTGATTCCTCCTTAATACTCTATCCCCATGCTCTTATCTGTGTTAACTAGAACCTAGTCACCCAGCTACCAAAGCACTCCTGCATCTTCCTACCACCAAGGACCTCCAGACCATTCAGTTGTGCTATGCCGTTTACAGAAATCGACCTGAAAGCTTTACAAATCTTGATTCACTTGGCACCTGCAAAAATTTGAAGCTGGTCCTGAGGCCACTACAGACAAACTCCTCTTTCAGAGCAATTAGGGAAGCCAAAACTGGAAAACAGAGTTACTCCACATTTGTCAATCCCAATGCACGGTGCTAATTTGCCCGTGGGGGGGGGGGAGGGGGAAAAAGAAAACCGTCC